CAGGGCCGTTCTGGGGTCCGGTGCCTTTGGCTCGGCGGCTCGCACGTCGGCTGCCTTGTTGAAGCAGTTTGAGCCAATCTTGCGGGATATGGTTGAGCTGTTTTAGGCTTCCCGGCTTGCATGTCGGCAGGCGGTGCTTGCCTCCTCTCTGAAATCGGCCTGGGCCCTGGCTTTTAGGTTGTCTTCGCCTTTTCCTCAGCTTTTTGCGCCTTTAGCTGTGGCGCACTATATTCAGGCTGCTTCGACTAGTTGCCGTCCCATGTCTGATGACCCGCAGGCAGGTCGACAATCCGGCTCCATTCGAACTGCTCCCTGGTGGTTCATTGCTTGAACCGAGGGGGTTTGATGTGGTCCTTGGCTCTTTGGCGCTGATTGCTTTGGGTGACTCATCTGCTGAGTTCTCGGGGTTTGGCTCTCCTGGCGGTTCACGTGCGGGGAGTGTCCAATGTCTTGGCCGACGGCCTGTCTCATTTTGTTCCCCGTCTACGGAATGGACGGTCGACACCGACTCCTTCTGTTGGCTTTGCCGGACGTTCGGACATTCCGAGATGGACCTCTTCGCGACGGCGTGGTCGCACCGCCTTTCCCTGTATGTGGCGCCCTTCCCAGACTGCAAGGCTGTCAGGGTCGATGCCTTTCGGCAGGACTGGTCGAGGTGGGGGTTCCTGTACCTCTTTTCCCCGGTTCAGCTGTTGCTCCAGGTCCTGGCTTGCTTGGAGACTTACCAGGAGTGAGTTGTCCTCTTAGCCCCGTGGTTGCCAGCCCAGCCGTGATTTCAGGCGCTGCTTGCTCGGTGTCCGAACCCGGAGGTTTTCCCATAGCTCCGCCTCTTCCAGCAGATTGAACCACCACATCACGTGCTTGGTTTGGTCTTCTCCTCGAGTCTTCGCGTATGGTATTTTTTATTTGAGTTTATCATTATCTCTATGGTGATCAGGTGGCTTCCTTGTTAGTGTCCCACCTGTGGGCTTCGTCTTGGCGGCAGTATGAAGTTTCCTGGCTCTCTTTTGCCAGGAAAACTATTTTTTTTTCTTCCGGTTCTTTTTGCGTCTTTGTAGTTATACTTCCCTTTCTGTTAGGGTGGTGGTGTCCTATCTCTCTTGGTGGTTCCAGGACCGTCATCTTATGCCTAACACTGTCGCCTCATATCGGGCGGCACTGGCAGAGCCGCTTCAGCTTGCTTTCAGTATTGATGTAATGTCTGCACTGGTTCGCAAGCTGTCTCATTCGTTGTTTCACCTCAGGCCTGCTCATGCGCCGCCTGAGCCATCCTGGTCTTTGGACAGTGTGCTCTTTTTTTCTTTCTTCTCCTCGGTTTGTTGTAGCCCCTTCGGTTCAGGATTGTTTCTCGAAGGCTCTTTTCCTGTTGGTATTAGCCTCTGGGGGTCGAGTCGGTGAGCTTCATGCTCTCCTCCGGTGCAGGGCTTTCTGCTCCTTCAGTTGTGGTGATAGGTTTGTTCATTTGCAGCTGTCTCCTTCTTTTCTGGCAAAGAATGAGACTGCTGCTTTCCGGAGGGGTCCTTGGGTTGTTAATCCTTGGTTGGTTAGGCTGGGGGTGCAAAATGTTTTGTGTCCGGTTGCAGCCCTCCGGCGTTATTTGCGCGCCATGGCTTTTGTGTCCGGGGACGCGCTTTGGGTTGATCCGGTTTCCCTTTTTCCCTGTTCGTGGGTGCGGGTCTCCCAGGTCGTCCACAGGGTTATAAACACTTTCGCCTGCCCAGCTAAGGTTAAAAAAAAAGCGGTATGTGCGCGCGGCTTTTTTGTCGCTTAAGCGTCAAAATAAAAATGTGTATACTCTTTTTACTCTCCTGACCTTAGTTCTCGAGCTACGTATTTCATTTTGGTACCAACGTGTTCGCAATAAAATTCTCTAGAAGAACATCAGTAAAAAATGTCACGAAAGGTATAGGGATACCAGCACCAAGTGAAAACCTAAGTAGGTGACTCGCCGTGAGCGCCCAACAGCAACAAAATGTTTTTACTCTTGGGATTGTTATCACCTCCACACTTGTCCTACAGCGTTAATTTTAGTATCAATGGACTCGCAATGAAATTCCCAACACGGTGATATGAATATAAACGTAGAATAATGGTCGCGGCCCACCCACAAGAGTGTGGGAAGTGGCGGAACTGTTACCCGGTATTGGTGACGCGACGACACATGTGCGATATGGCGCTTTGAAAGTTTATACTTATTTCACTGTCCTGACATTATTATTCTATGTACGTCATTCATTTTTGTGCCAATGTGTTTGCAACAGAATGTTCTATGAGCCCGTATGTAAAAAAGATCAACAAAGCGTAAGATAGAATAGCGCCAAATATAAAACAACGCTGGAACATATCAGTGAGCGTCAAACACACACAAAATGTTTTTACTGTTGTTATGTTTGTCAAGTTTATACTTGTTGCACACAGTTATTTTTGGTTGTACATTGATCGGAATAAAATTCCCTAAACAGACATATGCATATAATACATGATATGGGGGAAGCATTACCAGTATAAACGGCTAAAGTCACCCACCTGCAACCCGTTTGGGACACTCCTGCAGACACACGCTACACCCAAAAAAAAATCTATGAAGGTTCGAGGCTACTTAAGGCAGTTTATGTGATACAGTGTTCATTCTGGTATCAAAATACTCGTTTCAGTTTGTAGTTCATGTGATTTTCAGAATCAACTGAATCGCTGAAGGTTCAACATTTGAGTCGGAGTCAGAGTCATCTGACAAAACCGTCTCCTCAAATGGCAGTATGCCAGACATCTCGGGTTCTGATTCGGTTGCTGCTTCAGCTTGAGGTGTTGAAGTGAACAAAGGCCGCCTCACACCAGATGGTCCGGGAGTTTGCATGGTGTCAGCATAGGCAGGGCCTGTGTCATGATTTATGTCTGGAGCGTGCCGCAAGTGTTGAGATACTGTTGCTGTTTGAGGCCAATCTTCCGGGTCCCAGCGCAATAGGGCCCAAATTGCCACCTCGTGGAACTGTAGCAATGTTAGCTTTTTTTGATCAGTTGTGTTGTATTGGTACAAAACAAAGGCATTATGCAATGCCATTTGCAGGAAATAAAACGTTATCTTTTTGGTCCACTTGTGAGTTTTCCTGGTAAAATGGTAATACCATTTGATCGAAGTGGTCCACACCTTTCATGAACTTATTGTACCATGCAGCCTAGTGGTGAGAAAGAGAACCTCATGGTGCGCAGTTTGAAACAAACCCAAAGTAAATCGGATTAAAATTGAATTTTATACAAATATTTTTTTGAGGACATCATTTTATGACCACATTGCGAAAGCGGTTAGGCAAACAGGACTCCAGGTTATGTCCTGATCCGCATAAAGTGTTAAGTCTAGCCAGCTTGCGGTCCATCCCCGTGCCCATGATGTTGGCAAGTTTGCTGCTCTTGCTGCTGTCTTTGGCAACATGTCCTGGTCTGACATTCGGGCGGGGGGTTTTGGTGGTCGAACAGGGTCTTTGCTGCTCGATATCTCGTGAATGTTCATGGGCCTAGTCAGGCTTTTGTCGCGTTGGGTTGGCGGTTGCAGCCAGTTGTCTCGCCTTTGAGTTGAGGAAGTGAGCAGCGACTGCCTCCTGGTTAAGTCCCTCTACTTTTTCCTTATCTCCGTTAAGTTAGCTCCGGGTAGTTAGCTTTGCTCCGGGGAGCCGAAGGGGCTTTCCCCAGAAAACCAGCGTTGAATGTAATGAAACATCCATTTTCTGGGTGAGACCCGGAGGCTCCCTGGCATCCCTCACTCCCTCCGGTCGGCGTTTTTTTTTGCGTGTTTTGACATCCAGCCTCAGAACTGAAAGGTGGATAGCCAGCGAGGAGGTCTGGGGGCATCCCCTTCCCCCCTCCCGGGGAGGGGAGAGCTGCACAGACAGCGGCGCGGCGACGTGTGATGTCATGCTCGTTTGCTCGTTTCTTTTAGGGGGAGTTCTATCCACTTGTTCAGCTTTTGGTAGCAAAATTTTCACTAGAATAGGGGTTTGTTTTAGGATGCTTACCTTTCTGGGTGCCTGACGCAGTCGATGGCAGACATAGAATGCTTCCAATCACATGGGGGTTTCTATTGGTCATTGCTCCCCATGCCTCTCTGAGGGGGCCAGGTTCTGGCTCGTGGTCCCCAGTTGGCCCACAGAACTCCATTCACATGACTGATGCCAAAGTCTGACATTAGCATATCAGCCTAGTAAGCTCTGGGGAGCCTCCGGGTCTCACCCAGAAAATGGCGCTTCATTACATTCAACGCTGGTTTTTTATGACCACTATGTTGTTTGGACACCATGCAGCTTACTTGTACAGTTATGGCGAATAAAACATGTAAATATTTATATATAATGTGTGTATATAGTGTAAAAACAGCACAAACAGTATTGTGGGAGGAGGAATGTTTGTGAGTGAGGGAGGGAGCGTCAACTGACTGTGTTGGCGACCTCAATTATTGAGGTCTTGACCCACCATATCAGCTTAGTTGTACAGTTATTTTCGCACATTTTATTTTATAAATATATCACACTACACACTATTGAATAACATTACTGCAAAAACAGAGAAAAAATCAATCAGACACATTGAAATAATTAAGTCATAATAATATCTTTGTGGTGACTCCCGTGAGTGGAGCAGACCGCCACAGGATGCCTAGTCTGTCAATACCTCAATTTTGCCAGACTTCCCCACCCTATTGGGGCCAAAATATGTCGCCTACGATTTTGTTATTATTTTTCCTGTGATCAGAGAACACCAATAAACACTTTTATAAGACGAAAAAAATTAGAATTTTTGTATTTATTGCGCCTGGCGGTGTCGAAGGGTATTAATAGCTGAGCAGCACGGGGGTTAAGGACCAAGGCTGGGGATTGATGATGGCCTGCCATCATAGCTGCTCACATAGTTTTTGTATTCTTTCTTACATGGATGGGTCCTTAAGTACTGGATTACTTAAGTGCATTACTGGATTTTAAATAGAGTAATAATTCAAATATTTCTTATTTCAGACTTGAGAATTATCCACAGTTCCTGTTTCTTTTACTTTTGGGAGGTCTCTACAACCCCATAGTGAGTGCTACTGGAGGAGCCGTCTGGTGTATTGGACGTATTGTTTATGCTCTGGGTTACTACACAGGAGGTATGTTGATGCCACACACATTTTCACAATTGTATGATGGATAAAACCCACACAAGTACATTATTTTCATCAAATATAGTACATTGTGGCACAAAATTTGTTTCACTTCATACAATTATTTCAACCATGATCATTGTGCAAGCCATGTCATAATCACAAACTATTAACACCAACACACTCAATGATCATTACTAGCACTACAATGAGTAAAGATAATATCATTATTTTCATCACATTCAGTAGCTTGTGGAAGAAGATTTGCTTCAGTTGACACCAGGAAAATACTTGTGTCCACCACAACCACCAACGAAGCTGGCACTATGTTGATTGTGTCATAAACACCACTAGCATGGTCACCACCCTTCTCTCTCCCAACACTAACTACCAGCTTCCTACCACCACATTCTCAGCAGAATTAGATATTGTTGAAAGAAATATGCCCCAATTGACAATTCAGTATATCATCAAAGCAATAATGGAAAGAGAAGTGAACTTGGAAATTCTTTGTTATATTAATAATATAATTGATTAACTATACACTATTATCAGTGTAGTTAATCAACTATATTGAAAATAAAATAATGTAACTTATAAACTTCACCATAATATAACTGGGGTAACTATAAATTTGAGATAATTGGAATATTGGATTAATGACATACTGGGTTACTTTTCCTTTTGGTGCCTTTCGATGATTCCGAGGATCAACGTTCCCATGACCCCGATCTCTGACCAGGTTACTTAAGTCGAACCTGGTCAGCCAAGCTGTTTGGTGCAGCTTCTCGCAGCCTGATGTACGAATCACAGTCTAGTTGATCAAGTATCTTTTGAAGGTGTTTATCAAGTTCTCTTTTGAACACTGTGAGAGGTTAGCCAGTTAGGCCCGTTATGTGTCGAGGGAACGTGTTGAAAAGTCTTCGACCTTTGATGTTGATAGTTCTCACTGTGTACCTATTGCACCTCTACTTTTCAACAGAGCTATTCTGCACATCCTGCCATGCCTCCTAGTTTCATGTGATGTTATTTCCCTGTGCAGATTTAGAAGCAGTCCTAGTATTTTCCAAGTGTTAATTATTATGTAACTTTCCTACCTGCAATCAAGGGAATGCAGATTTAAATATTTTAAGCAGTCCTAATAATTTAGGTGTTTTATTGAGTAGATTTTAGCAGCAAATAAACTTTGCACACTCTCCAAGTCAGCAATGGCAATAAGATCTTCCGACACGATTACTCCCTAATCTTTTATATTGCATTTTCCTTCAATTTGATTTGACTGCATTTTATACAATATGTATGTGGTTTCTATTTTGATATATTCATTTTTTCATAGTGCAGTACAGTATGTGGAACTTATTTTCATTAAACGTTATTTTCCGAGGCCCAGTGAAAGACCTGGTTGACATCAGATTGGAGGTTTGATGCATCCTCTATATTGTCTACTCTTTGCAGATCTTAGTGTCATCTGCAAAGTATGATACAGTACTATAGTTTGTATACTTGGCTATGGTCTGATATGAGGATGAAAAAAAAGTACTGGAGCAAGCACAGTATCTTGAGTGAGTGAGTTTTGCGTGGTGGATGATCCAGACTTTACTTTGTTGACTTATTTCATTCTGGGTTCTGTTCATTAGGAAATTAAAAATCCACCTCCCTACTTGGCCATTAATTCCTTTTGTGCACATTTTGGGTTTAATAATGCCATTGTCACAGTTGTCTAAAGCTTTTGCGAAATCTGTGTATATTACATCATCGTTTTACTTGTCTCTGACGGCATCTAAGGTTGTCATAGTTGTCCAGCACTTGTGAGAGGCAGAAGTGCTCTGTTCTGAAGCCATGTTTTCCATGGTCATGTAGACACTGTGATTGTATGTGTTTGTGATCTTAGTTCTTGGCTCTTTCAAAGATTTTTATGATGTGTGATGTTAGAGCTATTGGTCTATCATTTTTTGCAGCTGCTTTATTTCCTCCTTTGTGAAATGGTGCGTTCTCTGTTCTTGAAGTATGTTGAGGATAACATGTGTATCTAGGCTCTATCTTCAAAAGATATTTAGGGCCGGTGATGGTGGTTTTTTGCAATTCTTGATTAATATACTGTAGAATTCCAAGAGTCTGGGTGCAGATTGCATGGGCATGCTGTCTATGGCTACTTCAAAGTCAAGTGAGGTTAGGGTGACATCTGACATGTGGTTAAATGGTAGTACATATCACATTCATAAAGAAATCATTTGGATCATTGATCTTCATTGTGTTCAGGAGTTCACTGAACAGACTGTAGCCTAAATAGTATTTCACTTATTTCTTTGTTGTCATCTGTGAAGGTTCCATCACCCTTGCTCAAGGGCACAATGCTAGATGTATTTTTATTCTAGATTTTGCATAGTAGAAAAAGCATGTTGGCTTCCTCTTTCACTTAAGGCCTTTTGTTCTCTTTGCCTCTCCTGGATTTTATATTAGTCTTGCAACTTTAGCTCCATTTGTTTCTATTTCTCTACATCGCCTTCCTTGTCATCCTTGGGGTAGAGTGGAGAGTTTGAGATGTTCTGAGATTTCATTTTGTTGCCTATAGAGTGAACGCTGTTCTTATTCCAGTTTGCATCTTTTTCTCTTTCTCCTTGGTGGTATGTGAGTTGTGCATATTTCTACTGGTAGTGTGCCTGTTTTCTCAAGGCATTTGGTTTAAGTTTGCATTATCTAACTGTCTTTCCCAGCATATTTCTGTGAGGTCTTGGTTTATTTGTTCCCAATTTATCTGTATATTATTCAAATTGAATTTGCTGAATTTTCCTCTTGGATTTGAGACTGGTTGCACAGTTATTGTGTATGCATGTCTGAACTTCAATTGGGTTGTGATCTGGGATCGAACCTGGAATTCTCAATTGTGTGTCGAGAACGAACCCGACAACTAGTACTACTGGGACCCGACTACTGCTGGAACCCGACTACTATCGGGACCAGGTATTTGACAGAGTTGATGGTAGAGTTTTGACATTTCTTGTTATTATTTTCCCTCTTTCTGTTAGCAAAAAATCTCTGTGGTATGTATGGATGTTGCTATAATCATAATGGCATTCTTTTGATTTTATAGGAAATGCTTGGCAATCTCTGTTAAAACATTCCTTTATGTTTAATGGATTTGTACAGTTTTAGGTGAAAAAAATTTGCAATTTTCAGAGCAACATGTACCTGTATTTATAATATTTCTGGACTTTCTTGGGTGTTTATACTTGCATGTTCCATTACTTCTTCCTGATAGCCCATATTTACATATACCCCCATGCATAATATTGACAGGTTCCTGGTTCATGCTTTGTTGGACTATCTTGGTTTATCCATAGTACACTTTGTGTTCACTCTCTGCTGAAAGATTAAGGTCGAGGTCTTATAGATTCCTGTGGTTGCTCAGTCACTTCCTTAACTGCTTCTACTGTTCCTTTCTGGCCACTTGTGCATGGGTTAGCTACATATCCTTCTTGCAATTCTTATATCCTGTGTAACCTCCTCCATCTTTCCTGATGAAAGCTCTTTTTCCCAGTTGAATTTCCTTGCCTAACTTATCATGTTCACTAATGTCGACTTGATTCAACTACAAGATTTTTTAATACTTTATTTTCCTTCAGGATTTTTCCTTTTAATTTCCCTATCCTTGTGTTCCTTATCCTTGCATAATTCCTGTATTTGACCTTCCAGAGCTGAAACTTTGTTTCTCAAACCACCATTATCCTGCAGGGACATTTTAGGCATCGTCCTCAGGGCTAGCCAGCTCAGTTATTTGTCAGGCTTTTCATTGTATGCTTCAGTGAGTGAAGTGGAGGGACGGATACCTGAACACTTTATCACATTTGGACCACCTTGCAGATGATGAGTCACAATAATGTGGCTGAAATATGAAGACTAAACCTCATACCAGAAGATGAGACGATAAAATTTTGGTCTGTAAAGATCATTATCAAGTCAATTGGGATGACACCATCTTGTATCAGTGTTGTTTGGTGCTTTTGAGCAGGTATTGATTCATTTACCTGGAACATTAGAATATGTATTAGCACATCCACAAGGTTGGCCAACACCACTTATTTGAAGACAGTAAGAGCCCTGTAGAGCAGAGTGGTCCAGAAAGGACCATGAATGAGTGGGCTGGCTAGCTGTGCTTCTGGGTTATTGAGCTCTCATTTAGTGTTGAGCGAGCACAAGAGGAATGATTTAGCCGCAACACTGAGTGTTTATGTGGGTAAAATTGGGGTTATAAATGTTCCTAAGCAGTTGGTGGTTTTAGAGCACTCCAACCAACCAACTGTTTGGTTGTTTGGAGTGCTCCATTTTCTCTTAGTTCTGTTGTGATCTCAGATTTTTATGCTCCCATTTGCATCTTTAAGGGGGCTAGGTTATGGACCTGGTATCTGGTAGGTCTCATGGGTTTGTTGAGGCCTGGTGTGTGTTCCAAAGAATGAAAGGTTCCAGGATGCAGCATTTGGGAGCTACCAGAAAGAGGCATTTCATTACATTTAGCACTGATTTTTGTTTTTTGTGAGTACAGTATTTCAATAAATGTTTGTTTTAAAACAATTGTTTTAATGGATAATTTTTTGTTTTCAGATCCCAAAAATAGAGTGAAGGGGTCCTTTGCTTACTTTGGCTTATTTGCCATGTTATACTGTGTTATTCGCCTAGCCACTGGCTTGCTGGGTTGGTTTTAAGGAATTTGTTTATAAAGTTTATTCAAAGATGTGTAATTTTGTCAACATTGAGTATTGTAAGTAATTGTTGGGGATAATATTCATATAGTGTTGTTGGGTGGACTGTATACATCATTTAAATAATTTAATATTTTGTAATTGAAATATCCTTGCACAAAGTGATATATGCATATATTATGGCAATAAAAACCACTAGAATGTAAAGTAGAAAAATGTCATGCATTTGTAAGTACAATATACTAATTATAGATTATTTTAAAATATTTTTGTGATTTTTTAAATATTTTAGATAAAGTTTCCAGGTACAGTATTCATATACTCTAAGGTGTTTTATATTATGCAAAAATTCTAGAAGTGTGCTATCCCTGAATATTATTAAATTGGATGAATAGAACCAAGGGAGGGGGGGCAAGTAACTTTCTAAAAATGAAAATGAAAAGTGGCAACTTTTGAAGATTGGGACAGTCTAATATGCCCTATATTTAGTTCACCATTACAAGCATTCATTCCAAGATTTATTTTGGTAATAGAGATATATATTTTCCAATTTGAAGTTTAATATTTTGTCTAGGGATAAGTTCAGTGATTTTATGTAACATGTTTAGGTTTCAACTTATCTCTTACAAAGTTTGTTGGTGATATCTTTTACTGTTTACATAAGTGTTCTGGCACCACTGGTGCACAGGAAAGACATGCTTCATTGTTTATTTGATTAATAAAAAGAATGTCCTTTTTTAATTTTTGATTCCAGACTTTCAGAATGATAAATAGATCTTAAAGTTATTAACACCTATTTTACGGTGCATCCCTACGATTTTATTATATACAATATATACTGTATAGTGGAACCTCAGCACTGAAATGTAATTGGTTCATGAGTTCTTCAAGGAGTGCTGGACCAACCAGGTTTAGGTGGATATGTGGGCCTGTGGGCCTCTCCAAACAACAGCCTGTTGGATCAAGCTCTCACAAGTCAAGCCTGGCCTCGGGCTGGGCTTGGGGAGCAGAAGAACTCCCAGAACCCCCATCAACCAGGTAAGGTGGATAAAGTGCAGATCTGTTCAAGAACTAAAAAAAATTTTGCCACGAGGAATAATGTCAATTGGATTAATCCATTTGAGACCACAAAATAATTATATTAATGCAATAAATAAATGCTAACACAGTATGCACTTTACCTGCACTTAGAGTTAATGGCATATGTGGAAGGTGGTGAGGCAGAGAGAGTGTTATTCTTTGGCAGGGGAGTCTCCTACCATTATAACTTGTGGGGCTCTTTCTCTTTTCTGTGTTTTTCTGTTTCCCTCATTAGACTCGTTGGATGCTTTTCTTACAAGAAACTTGTACAAGGATGAATGCTTTTGCATGTTCATTGATACCTTGGTTTCAAATTTAATCCATTCCCAGAGATGGGCTGGGCCGTAAGCCGAAAAATCTCAACCCAAAACAAATTTTCCTTAAGAATTTATGTAAATTGAATTATTCCGTTCCACACTCCCAAAAATATTAACTTCAAAATAAATTTCATACATAATACACAGATATTTTGTACCATAGTATGTACAAGGTAATTATCAAAAGAAGGCACCAAACCGGGAAAGCTATGTAGCACCATCAAAGTGCAAAACAATTGGAGGGCGCTAAATATCACCAAGAATGCCAATACGAGAACAGAAATGCTTAAGGCGAATAATATCAAAAGTATCCGATTCATCAAGAATTCTATCGAGGGACAAGTGACCGCGAGGAATGGTCGGAAAGAAAGACACACGCTCGTCCTGGAAGTCAGGATATTCAACAAGGATATGCACAACTGTAAGAGGGACAACGCAATTTGGGCAATAAGGAGCAGGGCGGTGCGCCATTAAGTGACCATGGGTTAAGCGAGTATGGCCAATCCGCAGCCTTGCCAAAGCAATTTCCCACTGCCGGTTACAGTGGTAGGAGGAAGGCCACGGGGACACACTACGTTTGATAGTACGCAGGTTGTTACTAACTACAGAGGACCAACAACCCTGCCAACGGGCAAGGATGGAGAAATGAATAACAGGATAAAAGTCGGAATAAAGAAGACCTTTACGGGAGATGAAACAAGAATGGATAGCTTCCCTAGCGGCAGCATCCGCACGCTCATTTAAAGAGACTCCAATATGGCTAGGAACCCAGCAAAACTCTGATTTAAATTTACTAGAAATAAGAAACAGCCAATGTTGAATCTCAATGACCATCGGATGAACAGGATTAAAGGACCCTAGAGCCATGAGGGCACTACGAGAGTCAACTACAACCACAAAGAAAGAATGACAATGAGAAAGCAAGAGACGGAGAGCATAGAGAATAGCATAAAGTTCTGCTGTGAAGAAGCTAGCCTCCGAAGGGAGGCGATACATATAAGTGCGGTCAGGAAAAACAACAGAGTAGCCAACACCGTCCGCAGACTTTGACCCATCGGTGAAGACGGAAATAGAGTGGGAGTGCGAAGAAAAGTGCTCAAGGAAAAGGCGTTTCAGAACCGTAGGAGGGGTAAAAGCTTTAGTGACGCGAGTCAAGGACGTACAAAACTTTGGAAGAAGAACTCTCCATGGAGGCAAGGAAGGAACAATACGAGGAGAAACATTAGAAATATGAACAGAAAGAGAATCCTGTAAGCGAGACAACCGGACAGAAAGAGGGAGGCGATGAAGAGGAACAGGAACCACAGGAGGGGTAAAAGTTAAAGCATGACAGAAGCGAGAGGATGTTGTAAGGACCGCGCAAGATAGTGAAGACAGGTCCTGGAGAGAGAGGAAGCCAGTGTCAACATACAAACTGAGGGCGGGAGTTGAACGAAAGGCACCAGAGCTGAGACGCAACCCAGTATGGTGCAAAGCATCAAGACGGTGAAGAGTAGAAGGAGAAGCAGAAGAGTATGCAGGGCAACCATAATCGAGTTTAGACAGGACAAGAAAGAAGTGCAAATAATTCACGGGAGACATCTCTCGTCACGCAGGGTGCAGGTGCACCTCCAGTATCATCTATTAATACTGGTATTGGTTCAAAAGGGCCACCACTTACGGGCTAGTCATGCCCGTGCCACCTTTTGGGTGGCTTAATCTTCATCAATCAATCAGTGCAAATAGAGGAGCGTGCGCCTATCCGCTCCCCAAGAAGTTTGGGACAAAACCTTAAGTAGGTTAAGGGCTTTAGAGCATGCAACTCGAAGGTAAGAGATATGGGGCGACCAAGACAAACAAGTGTCAAAGATTAACCCCAAAAGCTTAGCGGAATCCCTGTACACAAGGGGATGACCATAAAGCGACAAAGAGGGACGAAGAACGACATGCTTCTGAGTAAAAGTCATAGCACAAGTCTTAGATGCAGAGAACTTGAAGCCATAATCGGTGGCCCAAGACGACACAGCATCAATCGCAAGTTAAAGCCGCTGTTGAAGGAGAGGCGAATCATCACCCTGACAACAAAGGGTAAGATCGTCAACATAGAGAGCGGAGAAGACGCCAGAAGGAAGAGAGGAAAGAAGACCATTGAGGACAACTAGAAAGAGAGTAGTGCTCAGAACACTACCCTGGGTTACACCCTCATACTGCTGAAAAGGGGCAGAGAGAGTGGTACCAAGCCGCACACGAAAGGAATGACAAGAGAGGAAACTGGAGGAAGAGAGGGAAATGACCACGAAGGCCAAAAGAATGAAGTTGAGACAGAATATGATACCGCCAGGTAGTGTCGTAAGCCTTTTCCAGGTCAAAAAGGACAGCAACAACGGAGGTCTTCGCAGCAAAAGCAGTACGAATATAGACCTCCAAGTTCACCAGGACATCCATTGTGCTGTGGCACTTGCGAAAACCAAATTGAGAAGGGGAGAGGTGGTGATAGTGTTCTAAGAACCACTTCAAACGAACGTTAACAATACGTTCAAAGAGCTTGCAGACACAACTCGTAAGGGGCAATAGGGCGGAAGTCCTTGGGGGATGACCTGAGAGACCCTGGTTTCCGAACAGGGAGGACAACAGCATCGAGCCAGTCTTCAGGGACTGACGATGATTCCCAGACCCTATTGTACAGACTGTAAATACGTAGACGTGCACGGAGGGAGATGGCGAAGCATTTCATAACGAATGCCATCAGAGCTCGCTGCTGTAGAACCACAGAGGGCTAGGGCAGACTGAAGCTCAGAGAGAGAGAAAGAATCATTATAGGGAAGGCGAAAATGAGTACAGAAATTTAAAGGATGAGATTCAAGAATAGGCTTATGAAGAAGGAAGGATTGGGGAAGATGAGAACCAGAACTAACAGATGAAAAGTGGGAACCCAGTTCGGTCACGACCTGCAATGGGTCTGCCACAAGAGCACCACGGAGGCGAAGGACCGGTGAGACATCGGGAACGAACTTACCCGCAATCTTGCGGATACGCTTCCAGACTAGCGGTAGAGGAGTTTCGGACGTAACGGTGGAGACATAAGACATCCAGTAAACACGTTTAGCTGCACGGATGGTTCTACGGGCCACCGCACAGAAACAAAAGAAAAAGACTCAACTCTCTGCCGACGGCGATGTCTCTTCCAGGCTGCATGATAACAGCAGACAGCCCGAGCAGTCCACATTCCACCAGGGAACACACTTCCGCGTTCCCGAGAGGAAGAGCGAGGAATAGAGCGGAGGGCAGCGTCAAAGACAGTGTCATGAAAAAGGAGGGCGCGAGGGCGAGGCAGAACGGAGAGGTCGGAAATAGTAGCACGGAGAGTAAAGAGGCACCAGTTAGCCTCGGCAAACCACCACCTAGGGAAGGAGAGAAGAGGGTGAAGAGAAAAAAGTAACAAGGATAGGAAAATGGTCACTGCCATGGAGGTCATCAAGGACCCGCCACCTGAAATCTAAGGAAAGGGATGACGAGCACAGAGAAAGAGCGAGACAGGAAGGGCGCGAGTCCGAGAGTCCAAATGAGTGGGCTCACCAGATTTAAGAAGGGACAGGGAAGAAGAGAGGATGAAAGGTTCAAGGAGGCGACCCCAGGTGTTTGTCAGTACATCACCCCAAAGGGCATGACGACAATTGAAATCATCCTGCAGGAGCACAGGCTCCAGCAAGGAGTCTAGGAGGTGTTTAAGATCGGGAAGAGAAAGTGGGACAGTGGGGGGGGGGGAGATAAATGGAACAAACCGTGTACTATTTCGCACAAAGACACGGGCAGCAGAACAGTAGAGAGGCGAGGAAAAAAGTAAGGGGACGAAGGGAACATCTGAGCGAATCAAGAGAGCAGAAGAGTTATGGGCCCCAGCAAAAGCTGAGGGGGAAAGAAAGGAATAGCCACGGAAGCGACTAGGACGAGCACTAAGCATCGGCTCCGAGAGACGGATACAAAGGGGTGAAAACTGTGAAATCAGAAGTTGGAGTTCAAGGAAATTGGTATAATATCCACGAATGTTCCAATGAAGAATAGACATCAACAAAAAGAGAAAGGATAACAACAGAGAACAATGAAGAAACAAAGGTGAAAAAGGAACACAGCATGTTAAAGTAGCTCGGGGTCAGGATCAGGGTCAGCGAAGTCAGGGTTGGGGGGCATGGGTAAACCGAGTAAGGATGGAGGGAAGGGAGCGGGAGGACAGACCAGAGGTGGACGAGCAGGGTTCAGCAGAGGAGGAGGAGGAGGAGGCAACAGAGAGGGCGGTCAAAGACAGTAGGACCAGGAGCAGAAAGAGGAGAGCGCACCTCAGCAAAGGCGGCAACCACCACGT